GGTAGCTCTGGTTGAAAGTAGAAAAAATGGTAATAAATAGTGTTACGTGTTTAGATATCCAAGCTCTGTGTGCTAAATCAGTAAGAATACTAACTAGGACAAAGGTATAAAACTGCAAAATTTCTGTCTTTTGGTTTACTTAATTGAATCTGTTGAATTTTCTTCTCTCTCTCCAGCTGAATTCTTTCAGAACCATGCCCATATTTTATATTCATTCAGAAGTATTTTATTTTCCTCGCTAATGCTCCTTTTACCTCAGACTATACCCTCATAGGGAACCTTCTTCTCTACCTTTTTAATTCAGAGAAATATACTGTATTAGGAACTTGATCCAGCCATTTAAAAAATGTTAGTATCTTGGCGGGGCAAGGTGGCTCACACCTGTAATCCCAGCACTTCCGGCGGCCGAGGCAGGTGGGTCACCTAAGGTCAGGAATTCGAGACCAGCCTGGCCAACATGGTGAAACCCTGTCTCTACTAAAAATATAAAAATTAGCCAGGTGTGATGGTGGTCGCTTGTAATCCCAGCTGCTCAGGAGACTGAGGCAGGAGAATTGTTTGAACCAGGAAGGTGGCGGTTGCAGTGAGCTGAGATCAAGCCATTGCATTCCAGCCTGGGTGAGAAGAACGAAACTCTGTCTCAAAAGAAAAAGAAATGCTAGCACCTTAATCAGGTAAAATAAAAGTAGTCAGTATTTCTTTATATGCAGTAGTCACCATTCTAACAAAAGGTAGAATGACCTTTTACAAAAGGTAGAATGAATAAGCATTCTGTTTCTCTTAGAAAGTCTTCTCTGTGTGTGTGTGTGTCTCTCTCTCTCTTTCTGTGTCTCTGTCTCTGTCTCTCTGTTTGTTTCAGGCAGGAGTGCAGTGGTGTTATCATAGCTTACTGCAGCCTCAACCTTCTGGGCTCAGATGATTCACCAACCGTAGCTTCTATAGTAGTTGGTACTACAGGTATACACTGTCACATCTGGCCTACTTTTTATTACCTATTCCTCATAAGATTGAAAAGCCTGATGCTGTAATAAACCACTAGTGAAAATGGCCTTGACTAAGGCCATTCACGTGGTCTGTATAAACCCTGTGAAGTCATTATCTCATAGATAAACATATCAAATCAGTGAAAAGTTACATGTCTAATTAGTGGTAGAACTTGAACCCACATCTGTGAGGCTAAAATATAAGTGGTTTCTGCTGCCTCGCTTTTGAATAGGACTTAGGAGATTGGACAGGGATCTAATGAACTTTGTATTTCTCTTTAGGTGAAAAGTTAGATTGTTCTCTAAGACCCCCTATACCAAGAGTTTGTAATTAATCTAAATAATATTGATAATATTGAACTTTGTTACTTCATTTGTTTACTTAAAAATAGAGCATAGAATTACTGGACTCCTTTTTTTCTTTTTTCATTTGAAAGTGTTATGCCCACTTGTTACTGCTTTTGGACAAAACCATGCTTTTTAGAAGACATTAGTGAAAGACAATAATGGAGTGATAGAGTGAATGTTTATAGTTAAGTGTTAAGAGTATGATAAAGCAAACAAAAAAATTTCCAAGGAATCTTTTATTGCTATGACCTCCCTCTCTAGGCGATTCCTAGATCACTCTGCTTATTTGTTCTATGCGCATCTGCTGCTCAGTTGACCCAGACTCATTTTGGGACCTACTTACCCTAAAATTCTTGTTTAAGAGTTTTTCTACACACTCTTTCCCTTAACTCTTTAGTGGTTTTATTCCTGTTTGTTTGATGGTATGTTTTGGGGAGGAAAACAGTATGAAGAAACAAATTCATTAAAGTGTGGATGAGTCAGATCTACTTTTTAAATCAAAAGTTTTAGATTGAAAGGCTACATTTATATTATTTCTTTTTAAAAAGCAGATTAGTTGTTAATCTGAATGAATCGATCATTGGTGGAATTGCAAGTAATATGATCAAGGGAAGGAAGAATGTTTACTGAAAGTGTATAGGAGTCCACAGATTTAAATTTAAATCTAAAATCTACCAAAACTATTAAATTGGTAATTTCTGAAGTCACTGTTTTCCAGTGTAAGTGTGCTGTTGAGGTCAGTTTTGTTCTGTATGTTCTATTTATAAATGCATGTTAAGTATGAGGTAAAAATCTATTTTTGGTTTTAAAGTTATGTAGTATTACATTTTGAGAGTTCATATGTGAATAATGATTATGGGTGTGTGTTTACAGATACATGTTTAAGTGTATATCATGTAAATGAAAGATTGTAGATACATTGACTATACATTTATATTTTTACATTTAAAATTGACTTTAGGCCAGGTGTGGTGGCTTATGCCTATAATCACTTTGGGTAGTGGAAGCAGGAGGATCGTTTGAGCCCAGGAGTTTGAGACTAGCTTGGGCAACATTGGGAGACCCCGTCTCTACCAAAAAGAAGAAAAAAAACCCAAGTTAGCTGGACGTGGTGGTGCAGACATGTGGTTCAGCTACTCAAGAGGGTGAGGTGGGAGGATCATTTGAACTTAGTAGTTCAAGGCTGCCGTATGATTGAGCCAGCCTGGGTTACAGAGGAAGACCCTATCTCAAAACAAATAAACTAATTAATTAAATTAAATAGACTTGACATGAAGGCATTTAAGCATCTGGTCTTGATGACTTCATTTTTTTTTTTAACCTTGAAAGTCTGAGTCTATTATTTAATTCTATTGAAGTTCAAGGGATTGAGCTTTGAAGGATGAATATAGATTGTGTATAATTCAACCAGGAATAGGGAAGATGATTAATCATCATTGCCTTAAGGCCAAGTTTTGACAACTGTATTTTGTAGAAAGAAGTACAGAAAAAATGGACAAGAGATTGGGGATTAAAGTAGGAATTAGGGTACTTGTTATTGCAAGGGAGAATATCTCTAGAATCAAATAAGTTGAATTTTGGGACCTACTTCCCCCCAAATGCTTGTTTAACAGTTTTCCTACACACTATTTCCTCTATGTCTTTAGTGGTTTTATTCCTATTTGTTTGATGTTATGTCCATTAAACCTGTTTATTGAAGGTTTGAAATTGGGATAGCAAATATTGGTGGACACTGGTGAATTTGAGGATGGACAGTACAGACTTATTAACATTCTTTGGATTGGGTGCAGAAGGGAATGCCAGTGAGGAGACCAAAAATAATTTGGAAAGGAATAGACTTCAGGGTTTCATGAAGTCTTAAAATACTTGAATGACTGTGATTGGAATGATAAAGAAATAATGTCAAACTTTTTCTACCCACTTTCAAAGATAATTTGTTGCAAAGTCAGTTTCAAAATTCAAACACTGCAGAGAAAAACAAAGAGCTCCCCAGATTTTCCCACCATTATGCTACTGATTTCCATCATAAAGGTAGACTTGTAAATAGACTTATAAGAAGATTATTTAGCTTAGCTTAAGAAGGAATTTGTGAATGACTGGAAATGCTTGAGGACATAATGCCTCTCCACCACTTGTATAACACATTCGATGATTACCTGTTTAGGTGTTTTAGAGGGAGTACAAGTACCTATAAGTAAATGGACTAGGTCACTTATGAAGCTCCTGTTTAGATGATTACCTGTTTAGATGCTTGCATAACACATTGGATGATTACCTGTTTAGATGTTTTAGAGGGGGTACAAGTACCTGTAGGTAAATGGACTAGGTCACCTATGAAGCTCCCTTGTCAACCTATAGATTTATCTGATTCTTGTCAGTCAGTGTTGAAAAGAGAGAGAGTTGTGTAAACTGAGCATTAAGTAAATAATGATCAAAAGTTGTAGGATTTTATTTTACCCAGCAATTTCTCTTCTGCATATATAGACAAAAGAATGGAAAGCAGAGACTTAATAGATAGTTTTAACACTAGTGTTTATAGCAGCGTGATTCACAATAGGCAAAAGGAAAAAACAACCCAAATATCCATTGTTGGGTGGATGGATGGATAAACAAAATGTAGCATATATATTTAACGGAATATTCAGCTTTAAAAAGAAAGGAAATCGACATCTGCTGCAGCATGGATGAATCTTGAAGACATTGTACTAAACGAAATGAGCCAGACAAAAAATAACAATTACTGTATGATTCTGCTTATGTAAGATACCTAGAATAGTCAAATTCATAGAGAGAAAGTAGAATGGTGGTTGCCAGGAGCTGGCAGGCAGGGCAAGATGGTTGTTGTTTAGTGGGTATAGAGTTCCCATTTTATAAGTGAAAAGAGTTCTGAAGCTTGATTGCTCAACAGGGTGAGTGTACTTAACACTACTGAACCTGTGCACTTAGATTAAGATGATAAATGTTATGCATATTTTATCACAATAAGAAAGTTGTAGGATTTTGCTTTTATTAGAATGAGGCACAATTTAATCTAATGTAGGAGAAACAGCCATTATGTTATATTAGTGGGAAATAGAAAACATTTGGCTAAGGTAAAGAGAATGAGCAGAGGTGTAAAGAAGGTTAATGTTCATTTTACCTAGTTAAATTTAAAATCTAGACAGTGATGGGTGGTTACGAAAGTGAAGATAAAAGTGTGATTTTTATTAACTTCTCACAATATGATGATTCAGAATTGGTAAAACAAGTAAGTCTTAGAGTTTTGGCAAGAGTCTTTAGAATGTGGAGAATTATAGACAAGACAAAGCAAGCTGAAGCTGAGGAATTGGCTTTTAACTTTCACTGAAAAGTTGATGGGCCATGTTTACTTAACAAACTTTATTCTGGACTTCGTTTACGTGTGTCTTTGAACCCCAGAAAGAAACTAAGAATGGAAGAAACAATAGTGAAAATGTCATGATTTTCAGTGGAGAAATTAGACCTTATTAGTTAGGGGAAAAGTTATCAGTTAATTTTGGTAAGAAATCTCTTTTAAAAAATATGTTTAATTAGAAAACATTAAGAATCATTTTGCTGTAAGTGCTACTGCATTTACAGTTGAATATACTCTTGTTTGTGAACCAGGGGGTTGGAGATTGACAAATTGGAAAACATAAACTCTAAACCTGAGTTTCTGATTTTGTTCATTTCTTGAATTGATAGCAGAATTGCAAATATGGCTAACAGTTTTTAGATAGAGTGCATTTTAAACTTGTACTTATGTGCCGTATTTTCCTGGGCGTGTGTATGTGTGCACGCACACACTAGCAAATAAGGTAGACTGTGTCATTTGGCTCTGCCTAGCTCCAGTTCAGTTATTTTTATTATTACATTGAAATGTAAGAATGAGTACTTCTTTCTTATGGAAACTTCCACTTCCTCTTTTATATCACCTGCACATACCACTGTGTTGCTACATGATCGGTCCTTTGTAAATATTAAATGAATGAGGAGTCAAGACAGCCTCTTTTTCATATTTTTTTTTCCTGAGTTAACTTTATGGAGTTTTAATATTATTTGATTTTATATTTGTATCTTTTTTCTTTTACATCGAAACCCTTGGTTCAAAACAGCATTATAAATGTATTTATGTTTTCAGTACATAAACATAGTTTCAAATTAATAATTTCAGGATAACTACTAATTATTTTATATATATACACACACACAACACACACTTTTTTTTAGAGGAGGACAACACATTTAGTTTTGTTTCAATCAAATCGCAACACTTTCTTTTCCAGCTGCTGCAAAGTGCATCTACAATATTATGATCCATTTTTAAAAGGTTTCCTGTCACATTACAGCAAGTCTCTTTTTTCAAACAGAGGAATAATCCCAAATTCTTCCTCAAATAAAAATAAAAACACCATTCCAGCAAATGGTAAATACATAAAAATTACAGTAAGCCAGACACTTAAAAGTACAGCCAAGAAGTCTTCCAACAGTTTATTAGAAAGAATGTAGACATTTAAAAAAATCCCTGCTGTCATGAACATAAATTGAGGTTTTCAGCCCTCGTATAAGCTGAATCAAAAAAATAAAATCCAACAGTGTATTAAACATTTTTCACCCGTTTGCCGTACTGACAATGCAGGTACAAATTTGGTCCAAATGTACAGATTCAAACCACAATGTACAGCTTTCTTTGTCCTCCTTGCTAAGAAACGTAAAAGCTTAAGGGTCAAACAATACCAAATATATAGGCTTCAAAAACCATCTAAGTTAGGGCATTCTCTAGTTTTAGCTAAGATACATCTGGAACACTGGCAAGTGATCACTCACATAGAATGATGTGAAGTAGATTTTTTGAAAAATAAACTTTAGTAGAGTGATCCTAAAGGATAACACCAGAAGAACAGCAGGTTGCCAGTAAGGTGTCAGCCAGTTTGTTCCAGCCATGGAACAAACATGAATTCATGTCCTATAATCTAAAATTTAGTTGTCTTTCCCTAAGCTGAGAGCTTCCTGTCATGTCAGCATCTATGATAAGAAGAAAAGGAGACTTAGGTGAGATGTTTTTATGTATCACAACTGCTGCATCAATTGCCTGGGACCTCAACAGCTTCATGAAAATCTGAGAAATGTTCATGCATAAGGTTATTGCCTTAGCTGACTTAAAATTGCCCCATACAATGGTACATATAAACCCTTAGTGAAGCCTTTTAAAAAACAGATAGAAAATGGGTGAAAGTAGGCAAATACAGCATCTGCCTTTAGAGCTATCAACTCAAGAATTCTCTCAATTACTAAATCTTGCAGAGAAGTCATTTTTCTTTCTCAAAGTCCTGGTGATGACAATATTCCTTACTTCAGATCTGGCATTTTTTTTTTTTTTATCATCACTGTCTTGTTAATCATCATCTGCTCCATCTAATTCTGGTAAATCTACATCCTCATCACCACCCACGTTGTTCATCATCTCAGAGAAACGATCAAAATTAGACATGTCTTCATCTGAATAATCTTCCCAGTCTTTCCAATTATTGAAGTCCACACCAAGCCAATTAAGCCTTGCCCTTTCTTTTGTTAACCTTGGTCATGACTGGCCAGATTCTCCTTTTCGTAAACAACATAAAATTGATCTGTCCATTCTTTTATGTTTGGAATCATTTGAATCAATACAGTGAAAAAAATCAATTTCATTTAAATGCTTAAAATTATCACTTCCTCTGAGACAACTGATGCAAGTTTGGATTTTTCAAAATTTGCATTAACGTCCTTACTGTCTTCAACACAAAATTTAATGAAGACATGGTCCCTTCCATCATACCACTTTTGCAGAAACAGGCTGCATTGTAAACAGGGTAGGGGGACAGGCGAACAGGTGGGCGGGCCTCTGTTGGCTGCTGCTGCTGCTAGATAGCCAGCTTCTCTCTCGTAGTAACTCTGCGTTTTCTTCCTGTCACAACCTCTTCTTGCTCCCGTCAGGCCACAGCGGCAGCCACTGGCTCGACCTCTGTCTCTAGAATGCACCGCATGGAAAGAGCGGCTTCTCTGGTCTGCGAGAAGAGGAAAGTGTAGGAAAAGGGGAGTGAGGACCTATTGTTATATTTTTATCTATATAAAATAAAATATCTATATAAAATTATCTATATTTTATCTATATAAAAATATAACATATTTTTATATAACAATGTTATATTTTTATCTATATATTTTTATCTATATATAGAAAACCTTACAGAGTAAAGAGTTAACTACAAGTTTCTTTTACCTTTTATCATTTTTGGGCTTTCAAAATTTCTGTGTGAAGGCGGAAGATGAATTCTTCTCCCCAACTCCATTTTTAGTATTAATGTTGATAGGCTTCTTGCCAATGAGATTCAGTCCATTATATCTGTAGTTTACCAGGTAACCTGAATTACTTGCAACTCATTACATCATAAGCAGGAGATGTTCTAGGAGTGTTAGTGACATTATTGTACTCTTTAGATGGTAGATCAGCTTGTGCCATATTAAATGCATTCATTAGCGTCCACCCTTCATCATAGTGCAGGTCCAGAAACAGCAGAAAGGTGAACACTCTAAATAAAGCAGAGAGACTTAAGGTGCTCCAGCGTTTTCATTTCCTTGCTGCTTTTTATTTGAGAAGTGGATATTTATGGTGTTTGTTTTGGAATGGTTTTCTTTTCCTTTGGCCGGTCAAGTGATCAGGTGCTTTGTTTTCTAGACACATTTTGTTATATTTGACCTTGGGAGAATATATATATGTTCATAGAAAATATGGGAATAGGCTGGATGCGATGGCTCACATCTGTAATCCCAGCACTTTGGGAGACCAAGGTGGGTGGATCACTTGAGGTCAGGAGTTCCAGACCAGCCTGGCAAACATAAGGAAACCCCGTCTCTACTAAAATACACACAAAAAGGTAGTCTTTTCTTCCTTCCCTGCCTTCCTCCTTCCTTTTTTTCCTTCTTTCCTGCCACCTACCCATCCATCCATTCTTGCTTTTTGCTACAACCAGCAAATTCCTTGAACTTAAATCTCAGAAGTAGGCAATAGAAGTGAAGATGGAGATCTAAATCATTCCCCCTTTTGTTCAGGGTACACATGCAGGTTTATTACATAAGTAAACTCGTGTCATGGCAGTTTGTTGTACAGCTTATTTCATCACTCAGGTATTAAGCCTAGCACCCATAAATTATTTTTCCTGATCATCCCCCCCCCAGCCTTTTTTTTTTTTTTTTTGAGACAGAGTTTCGCTCTTGTTACCCAGGCTGGAGTGCAGTAGTGCGATCTCAGCTTAGTGCAACCTTCACCTCCTAGGTTCAAGCAATTCTCCTACCTCAGCCTCCTGAGTAGCTGGGACTACAGGTGCACACTACCACATGCAGCTAATTTTTTTTCTTTTGTAGTTTTAGTAGAGATGGGGTTTCACCACATTGGCCAAGCTGGTCTCAAACTCCTGACCTCAAATAATCCACTCATGTCTGTCTCCCAAAATGCTGGGATTACAGATGTGAGCCACCGTGCCAGGCTCCTATTTTTTTTTTCTTTTTTTTTCTTTCTGTACTTGCAAACTACACAAAGAGCTGGGCCATCCCCCACCTTTCTTTTTTTTTTTTTTTTTTTTTTTTTTTTTTTTTTTTTTTTTTTTTTTTTTTTTTTTTTTTTTTTTTTTTTTTTT